TTTTTTTTTTTTTGTGTAAAGTATAGATCATGAAAAGTTTTATGGTTCACTTGTTTAGGTCAAAGAAGAAAGTTAGTTGAGGTTTTAAAATTAACAAGTAAATTCTAAAAGTAAAATAACACTTTGAATTATAAAATAGGAAAATCCACGTCTTAAATTAACACAATTTTTGAAAATTTTGGCCATTTAGTGGAATTTTCCAATTTTTATGTTGTCCTTGTACTATATATATCGGCCAGTTTATAATTTTATCATTCACTCACCAAAACTCTTCAAGGTTGATTTAATTTGATTTATATCCTTATCTCCTGCTTTTGTTTTGATCCCCAAATCGTTTTCCAATTGGATGGAAGATGATGATGGGCGGAGCCTGAACGAGATTACGCTATGGGCGGTAAATTAATGGTGAGCACCGTGGTGGTGCTCATTACCCTCATCATCTTCATGCTGGCCCTCCACCTCTACGCCAGGTGCTACGTTTCCCGGTACCGCCAACAGCAGATCGAGCGCCAGCCCCAGGTCAGCTGCAGCCGAGCAGACCGCGGTCTCGACAGGGCTGTCCTGAACTCCCTTCCGGTAATTTCCCTCCACGCCTTCCAGCCGGAGGACGATTGTGCCGTGTGCCTCTTGGAGTTTGAGGAACGGGAAATCGTGCGGCTCTTGCCCAATTGTGGTCACTCCTTCCACGTCCACTGCATAGATATGTGGTTTCATTCCCACTCTACCTGCCCTATTTGCCGCAAGCCAGTGGAGGAGAAAGCCCACGCACTGGAACTGGGGACGAGCTACGGTTTTGAGCCAGGGAACAGTGCTGATGATACCATTATGCCGGCGGGCCTGAGAATAGAGGTGCCGCCACCCTTGATGGCTGAACCGCAGACCGAGTTGACTCAGAAATTGCCGGCAGGACGGTCTTTATCTTTGACGAGAATACTCAGCATGGGAATGAGGTCGCCAGCGGAGACCAGCCGCGGGGTGAACGAGTTGGACCTGGAGAGGGCGGACTCAGTGAGCCGAATCGGAGTATGAACCGGATTCGGATGCCGAGTTGAGGCGAATCTTTACAAAGCAACCTTGTACTTTCCCGAGGAAAGACAGTGATAGGATGGGTGTCTCAAAAATATTGCGCGTTGAAATCCCGAGGCTTTCGACCGTGGCGCGTGAATAGGAGGGATAAGATTTGAGCATACACGTACCCATTTTTCCTCTGTTTGATTATTTAATTATTTTGGGGTGTGTTTAATTTAAATTCTAAATATTTTGTAAATGTTATAAAATACGGGGAATATAAAGAACACAATATATAAGAACCGGATATAAATCACAACAAGCTTATCTTTCTTTTCTTCTCACTTTTCGGTACAAACATCACAATGCATTTTGGCCCCTTTTTATAAGCAAAGGGGCACACATTTCAACACTAAATATAATAAAATAATAAAAGTGACAAACCTATTATAAGTGGTTAATTCCACATATATTTACAATACTCCCCCTTGGAATTACCACTATTAAATGTGCGTTTATGCTGCCTCGTTAAAAACCTTATCTGGAAAAACCCTGTGGGAAAAAAACCGAGACAAGGAAAAAAGAGTACAGCCGCACATACTCCCCCTCGAGTTATCATCCGTGCAAATCCCGAAGATGTCTCATTCCAATATTGTGCACGTGCTTTCGAAATATTGTCGTCGGAAGTGCCTTCGTAAACAAATCTGCTGCATTATCGCTTGATCGAATGTATTGAACTTTGATTTGTTTGTTTCTTTCAAGCTCTTGAGCATATAAGAATAACTTTGGCGGGATATGTTTAGTTCTGTCACTCTTGATGTATCCTTCTTTGTTTTGAGCGACACATGCTGCATTGTCTTCGTATATCACCGTCGGGTCATTATTGTTCGATAGTCCACTGGCTTGTTGAATATGTTGAGTCATGTTTCTGAGCCAGATACTTTCCCTAGTTGCTTCATGGAGTGCAATTATCTCAGCATGGTTTGAAGACGTCGCAACTAATGTTTGTTTCTGGAAACGCCAAGAGAATGCAGTTCCGCCAATCGTAAAAACATATCCAGTTTGAGATCTTGCTTTATGGGGATCTGAGAGATATCCTGCATCTGCAAAACCGATTATTTCATGTTTTTTCTCGTTAGAGTAAAACAGTCCCAAATCGATTGTCCCTTGGAGATAACGGAATATATGCTTAATTCCATTCCAATGTCTCCTCGTAGGTGCCGAGTTATATCTTGCCAATAAGTTGGTAGCAAAAGATATATCTGGTCTGGTGCAATTAGCAAGATACATAAGAGCCCCTATTGCACTCATATATGGTATTTCAGGACCAAGTATTTTTTCATCTTCATCACAAGGTCGAAATGGATCCTTTTCGACATCTAATGTTCGATTGACCATTGGGGCACTAAGTGGATTAGCCTTGTCCATATTGAATCTAATGCAAGTGTAAGCGTCCGGGTCCGGTTTGGAGTAGATCGATTCTTGTCCTTGTCGGTAGAACGCCGAGAACCTGCAAACAACTCTCACACCGGGGGTTGGATCCGGTGAAGAGCCTCCGATGCTTAAGTCAGTATGTGTATGAGTATACTGGAATTTAGAGAATGAATAGAATGTGTTAAGGAAGAAAGGCTCATCCCCCTTTTTATAGGGGTGAGATACCTGCCCTAATAGCTGCCCGGATAAGGATACGTGTGCTGCCCAAGCTGCCCGTCCGTACTCTGACACGCCGCGCACATGTCAGAGGTGCCGCGGGACGTTTGGGCGTTGTCAGGGGTGGGTATCGCTATCACCCAATACTTTGTCGACACGTGTCCACCCAGCACATGGAGTAAATATTCTCCTGAAGCTCAGTCAGGGATCCTCACGCGCATCTGCTATACACGCGCCTGGGCTTATGTTGACCCGCTTGCTCGATCACTCGGCTTGTTCGATCACTCATCTGATCGATTGATGGGTAGCTCGACCAGTCTGGTCGAGCGTCAAGCTACTTAACAGCCAGTGCAGTCGAGCCTTGGGTTGTTCGATCGCTTGTGTGGTCGAGCCCTGGGGCTGCTCGATCTCTCGGATTCCCGCCTTTCGGCTTGGTTTGCTCCCGGTCTGCTCTTCTCGACCATCTCACCAAATCGGTCCGTCTTTATATAGATATTATCCTATATCAGAATCGTTTTAGTATTCTTTTAGTGTAATTAGATTGATGGACAATATCCCATTCTGGACCCGTTCTATTTGCAAGCCGAGACAATATTTGGTCTGCCCGAGGTCTTTCATTTCAAACTCGCCTTTTAGTAAAGTGACTGCTTCTTGAATTTCATTTGTAGTCCCAATAATATTAAGATCATCGACATAGACCACAATTATCACAACTCCATCTTGTGATCTTTTTATAAAAACACACGGACATATTTGATTATTTATGTATCTCCGTTTAAGCAATTGTTCACTTAAACAATTGTACCACATACGCCCTGATTGTTTCAAGCCATACAATGATCTTTGCAGCTTTATCGCACATAACTCTTTAGGTTTGGACTTTAGTGCTTCGGGCACTCTAATTCCTTTTGGAATTTTCATATAAATGTCAGCGTCTAGCAACCCATATAAGTAAGCAGTCACAACGTCCATAAGACGCATCTCAAGATTTTCATGGATGGCCAAACTAATCAAGTATCTGAAAGTAATTGCATCCATAACAAGGGAATATGTTTCATCATAATCAATCCCAGGCCTCTGGGAGAATCCCTGTGCTACAAGGCGAGCTTTATATCTTGTGACTTCATTTTTCTCATTTCTTTTCCTGACAAAAACCCATCTGTACCCAATAGGTTTTATGTCTTTGGGTATAATGGTTATAGGTCCAAAAACCTTTCGTTTATTAAGCGAATTTAACTCGGCTTGAATAGCGCTTTTCCACTTTTCCCAATCATGTCTTTTCTGACATTCAATTATAGATTTTGGTTCAGGATCCTCAACTTCTTTGTCAATTTCTTGTGATACCATATATGCGAAAGCATCATCAATGATCTCATCACGTTTCCAAAGTTTCCCATTATTTACATAATTGATGGAGATTTCAATATTTTCATTTCGTTCCGAAATTTTTCCATCATCTTGATTCTTTTTCAAATTCGAATCTTGAATTTCTCTTTTCTTTCGAGGATTCTTATCTTTAGACCCCACTGGTCTTCCTCATTTCAATCGTGCCTTTAACTCATTTGGCATACCGTCATTTGCCGTTTCTTTTGGAATCTCAATTCGAGCAGGGGCATTTATAGCTGCAACATGTGATTTTGTCACCCTTTTTGTATCAGTAAATGCATCTGGCAATTGATTTGCAATATTTTGCAGATGTGTAATTTTTTGAACTTCTTGCTCTCTTTGTTTGGTGGGAGGATCAAGATATGACAGTGATAATGTTCTCCATGCAATATTTTTCTCAATTGACTTTTCATTCCCACCTAAAGGGGGAAACAATTATTCATTAAAATGACAATCATCAAATCGAGCTGTAAAAACATCACCTGTTTTTGGCTCAAGATATTTTATTATTGATGGAGATTCGTATCCAACATATATTCCCAACCTTCTTTGAGGCCCCATTTTTGTACGTTGGGGCGGAGCAATTGGTACATACACTGCACAACCAAAAATACTTATATGTGCAATATTTGGTTCTCAACCAGATGCCAACTGTAATGGTGAGTATGTATGGTGTGCACTTGGTCTTATGCGAATTAGATTATCTTCATGCAGAATAGCATGTCCCCATACTGAAGTGGGCAGTTTTGTTCTCATTATCAATGGTCTGGCTATAAGCTGCAATCGTTTGATCAATGATTCTGCTAGACCATTTTGAGTATGAACATGTGCTACAGGATGTTCAACATCAATTTCCCACTGCCATACAATAATCATTAAATGCTTGAGATGTAAATTCTCCAGCATTGTCCAGTCTAACTCTTTTTATAATATAATCTGGGAATTGAGCCCTTAATTTGATAAGTTGGGCAAGCAATTTAGCAAATGCCACATTTCTAGTGGATAACAAACTCACGTGAGACCATCTACTAGAAGCATCAATTAACACCATAAAATATCTAAATGGACCACAAGGTGGATGAATAGGTCCACATATATCACCATGAATCCTTTCCACAAATAATGGTGATTCATGCCCGACTTTAGTATGTGATGGTCTTATTATCAATTTCCCTTGAGAACATGAGGTACACGTCAATTCACGTGTTTGTAATATCCTCTGATTTTTTTACGGATGTCCACTAGAATTTTCAATAATTCTTCGCATCATTATCGAGCCAGGATGACCAAGTCTATCATGCCAAGGTTTAAACATTTCATTCGCCTGTGACTTTGTTGCAGCATAAGTCTCAATAATATAAATGCGGGTGTAATATAAGCCCGATGATAAAGCTGGCAATTTCTCCAAAACACATTTATTTCCCGCAACATTTGAGGTAATGCAAAGATATTCAACTCCCCCTTCATTCATTGTTTCAACATGGTATCCGTTCATTCGGATATCTTTAAAACTCAACAAGTTTCTTGTTGATTTCGGGGAGAATAATGCATCATTCAATGTAAACTTTGTACCTCCCATCATAAAAAAATATGGCTTTTCCAGAACCCTCAATTATCTTTGCATTTCCAGATATTGTGTTTACTTTTGCTTTATTTAATTTCAAGTTGACAAAATATTTTCTGTCCTTGAGTATAGTATGAGTTGTGGCACAATCTGCAAGACATATATTGTAACACCCCTCCTTACTAAAAATCAGAGTAGCGCAATAATTCGCAAAGTCTTTGAAAAATAAAACCTTTTTACTTTGCGAAAACTGATTAGGGGTGCTACCGTGAAAAATCTTTACTTAACTTAGAAAACCGTTGTTTTAATTTTTAATAAAACGTCCGGTTACTGAAAACATTAATTTTCTTAAAAGTTCGTCCAAGTGATGAGTTCGTCAAAAGCGTACGTCAAAAGATATCAAAACATCGTCACAAGTCAT